CTCAGCCCTGTGTGAGCTCTGTGATTGTACAGGTTCCTGGTAATTGTTTTCTAGCTAGCTTCATGGAGTTTTACTCTTTGCAAGCCCAGTTTAAGCCTTCAGCCAAAGACTCCGTGGAATCCCCATGAGGATTTCTGGTGTTCTCCTTCTGGGTGGCCCCTTACTCTCAGGTATTCTTCTCCACAAATTGCAGCTCCCTTAGCCTCTTATCTCTGTCTCCTCCACTTAAATTGCCATCTCCTGCCTGGGTTTTACCTTTCTGGTCTGGCAAGTGCCTCTGGGCAGAAGGTCATGGTAATCATAAGACTCCTCTCGTTTTGTTTCTATCTTTCAAGGGTCATGATCCTGCCTTGTCTTTTGCCTAACGTCTGAAGATAACGTGCTCATATATTTTGTCTAGTTGTTTACAGTGGGAGAGAAAATCTGTTACTCCATCATGGCCATGCTTGACTTTACATGCAGTTGACTAATTTAATATTGTTCAATTTAGTTTCAAATAAGGAAGTCTGGGGCAAACATATCTGTAAGGCAATCTTGAATTCTAGGAAATTAAAATGTTGGACGATTCATGGTTAGAGGTGAAGGAACACTCCTATCTGCTTTCTCATCATAAAGAGCATGGGATTTTTAGAGACAGCTTTAAAATAGAAAACAGGATGTTGGTTTTATATCCTAATCACCCCTTAGTAGCTGGCCTCCCTCAGCCTCAGGCCAGAGAAGCTTTAATTATGGACAATGTCATTCTGTCCCATGTATTACAGAAGTAGAGATATTTGTCACGGGAACCCGGAAACAAGTTAGCATTAGGGTCTCTTTAGGAGAAACATGACGTTTCATATATGTACGGGTTACGTGCACCTCCTTCCCATCTTCCAAAGCTATGCCTTCTCCTCAATCCCATACCAAAGTCTATTTCCAAAATTCCAGCTTACCTTCCCCAAACTATTTGGACAGAATATTTTTATATATACATATATATAAACATACATATATGTTTACACACAAATAATAATATAATATCAATCTTTATTTTCCTCCAACAGCATAGACCTCTTTAAAGTAGGAGATGTTTACAGAAAAGGACGGTGATTGTTGTCTCTTGTATCTAGTCTCGTCCACTTATATTAATCTCTATTTCTCATCAGCTGGGTATCCGAGTTGGCTTTTGTCACTTCAGAGTGGAAAGAGATGTAAACTGTGGGCATGATAGTGATACTGTAGGTGGGAGGCAGGAGGATGCTGAGGAGAGACAGACTTTGAAGCAGAACTAACTTACCTGAAAATAAGTAGTTCTTTCCGTGTAGATTGTTGCTATTTTCTGTTGTTGATGTGGGAGAATAAGCTATTCAGTTGAATAATGCTTTGCTGTTCAACAGAACCCTTTGACTGCAGAGACTTGTCTATTTAAAGTAAATTGAGCAGAAGCAATTCTTGGCATGGATCCTTAGAACTACTTGCTCTCTTGACTCATTTCTGCCCCTCTGCTGCCCCTCTGTGGCAATTTCATTGTGTCTTCACATCTCAGCACATCAGTCTTGTTTCCCAGCCCCCATCTTCCTTAACGTATTTTCCTAAGCAAATTCAAAGTCGTGTCCAACTAGCACTTTCAAGACATCTCATTAGGGTAACAAAAAGCTACAGCAAAGTGAGAGACTGACAAACAAACTACAAGGTCCCCACCACATGGGCCTGAGCACCTAATCTCATCAATGGTACACAGCATCCCCAGCCAAGCCAACTGCCTTACCCCAAACACAAGCCTTCCGCGATGTGTACATGCCTCTGGTGTGCTCCAGTCCTGGCATAATAGAATACTCTCTACTTCTTCCCACTATGTATAGTCTGTTTCCTTCCCACCCCTTGAGGCCCCACCGGACCCACTTCTCCAAGGAAATAGGCTCCAACAACTTTCAAACACAAACGGTATGTCAGCTCTTACCAAGCATTTGTGCACACAAAATAAAGTGTTTCTAGGTAATTTGAACATGTAACAGATACCAAGCACTTAAGTTTGGATCATCTCTTAATAAATAATTACTTGAAAAATGAACAAAGTACTTATATTTCTTTATCAACTTCATTAGCATATAATATTCCATAAGCAGGCATCTTTGCTTAAGTGTCTGTGTTGGAAGGAAGTAGTCGAGGACAATAGAAGTTAAGCCCTAGGTTTGAATGCAGGCTCATTTACTGAGTATGGACCTCAGTTTAAAGGGCTAATCATGGTACTCACCCACATAGTTGTTCCGAGGCTGAACGGAGATAATACATGAAGAGACTTTACGTGAGCTTGACACACAGTAAGTTTTCAATAAAGGTTGGCTCTTATTAATAGTGACTACTATTCTAACTACTTATCTTTCTAGAAATAAGGCAAAAGACTTATAATCTAACAAAGCTTTAGTTTTCACTGTGTATCAAATGCTAGTGAATTTGCATATTGTCTCAATTTGTTATCACCTATAGGTCCTATCTTTTGTTAATTTTCTTTTGGTTAATAGAAGTTTGTTTTATTTTTTTAAATATTTTATTTATTTATTTGACAGAGAGAGAGAGAGATAGCAAGAGCAGGAACACAAGCAGGGGGAGTAGGAGAGGGAGAAGCAGGCTTCCTGCCGAGCAGGGAGCCTGATGCGGGACTCGATCCCAGGACCCTCAGATCATGACCTGAGCCAAAAGCAGACACTTAATGACTGAGCCACCCAGGCGCCCCTAGAAGTTTGTTTTAAATTTAAAAAAAAAAAAAAGAAAAAGATTTAGAATGAATTTGCTTAAAAGAAATCTATCATTACCTTTATCTTTTAGCTAAGCTTATCTGAAAAAGCAACCTAATTAGCAACTAAACTGGCATACTCAAGAAAAAACTCCATTTTCAACTGAGTTTACAAAATAATTTTGTATTGTAGTGATCCATTTAGGCTAACATTATTCTTTTTGGTTATATTTTTCTGAAAATCAAAATAATGCATTTCTATTGTAAAAAGTTTAGAAATATGCAGTGAAGATTTAAAAGCACTGGTGATCCCACAACTCAGAGCTAAACCTTCAAACATTGGTGACTATGACTATCTTTTTATTTTCTCTCTCAACCAATGTTGTCCAATAGTACTTTCTGTGATGATGGAAATGTTCTCTGGCTATCCACTCTGAGAACCACTAGCCACGATAAAGATGCTATAAAGCATCTGAAATGTAGTGAGAACAACTGCGAAACTGAAGTTCTAATTGTATCGATTAATTTAAATTTAAATAGTCCCATGTAGCTAACGGCCACCGTATTGGACTGTGTAGCTCTAGGAGGATATTTTCTATAATACTGTGAACCTTACAGTGGGAACATTTTCCACTACTATGAAATCATGTCAACACACGATTTTAAATGGCACCTTATTTCATTCTATGGAGGTATTATTATTAATGTGAACACCCCTAATTATAAGGCAATTAGATCTTTTCCATTTGGAAGTAAATTTCCTCCTGTAAACAAAGCTACAATAAACTACTTTGTAAATAAATCTTTGTCTAGATTCATAAGTAGTTCCTTAAGATAGATCCAGAAAGAGAAATTACGAGGCAAAAAGATAAGAACCACTTTAAGGCTCTTGACACATTCTATTAAATTGTTTTCCTGAAAAGCTGAACTCATCATACTCTTACCACAAGCACTGAAGAGTGCCTAGGTCATGGCACCCTTGTCAACATGGAGCATTACCTTGTCCTTTAAAAAATCTTTGCTTAGGGGCGCCTGGGTGGCTCAGTCGTTAAGCGTCTGCCTTCGGCTCAGGTCATGATCCCGGGGTCCTGGGATCGAGTCCCACATCGGGCTCCCTGCTCGGCGGGAAGCCTGCTTCTCCCTCTCCCACTCCCTCTGCCTGTGTTCCTGCTCTATCTCTCTCTCTGACAAAAAATTAAATAAAATCTTTAAAAAAAATAAAAATAAAAATCTTTGCTTAATTGATAAATAAAAATGATATCAAATGGTGTAGGCTTTTGTGTCTTTGATTGGTGGTGGTGATGGGCAGAGAGATGGACTTCCCAGATTCCCTTTGAAGGGAAGATGTCTGGCTTCAGTGGCATCTATATGATTTGCAGACAGTTTACCTGGCACCTCCTTCAGTGTCGTTTTAGCTGCAGAGGAGTGCGCCATCCAACACTGTGCCCCTCTGGGGCAGTCCACACCCAGGGACTAAGTGAGGGGGAGTCATAAGGACTTAGCCATTTGGGCACCCCTTGGGCAACTTCGATGGGCCTGCATCACAACAGGACACATCCATCTGCCCAGTCCAGCTTTTGCCCCCTTTCTTTCACAGATGTGGATCTCTTATAAATACTCTGCACCCCAAGCCCATGTCTGCATTTACTTCTGAAAAACCCACCGTGCAACAGAAGTGATGTTGGACTTTATATTTATTTGCCTTTTTCTGTCATGTTTGCATGGAGGATTTTGAGGCCACTTCTGGGCAAGCAGGAAAGAATGCTAAGACCAGTGAATTCATTGGCAATCAGAAGATCTGTTACGTCAGAAAGCCATAAAAAAACTAACAAAGACTAATGTGTCTGGCATAAAAATTTTTGCATATAAAAAACACCTTGGATTGATTTTTTTTACGCAAAAAACTGGAAAGTTAAATAGACAAGTTTACTATTTACTTATAAAGAGATCGTGTGTGTCCAAGCATCCTAAGTAGAGGAAACACTGTACTGTCCTCTTACTTATGTATTTCTTTAGGACACAGAAAACATTCTCCGCCTGTGTCTGATCTAAACACATTTCCAAAAACCCTACAGGACTGAAATTTCAAGAAGCCCAGATGTGGCTACTCTAGAAATTAAAAAGAAAATTCTTTGATTTGTGAAGAAGCTCAACAAAAATAAGAATATGGTTCATAGTTCTTCCCACCCTCCTGTTCCAACAAACAGTGAGAAAAGTGAAGAAAACCTGATTGGGGCTTCCCCTCAAATAACAGTCTCAGCTAATACTATTCTCCTCTCTCTTATAGCCTTGATCACGGATGACCTCACAGATGCAATTATCTGTGCCAAGAAAATTGCTAAAGAGACAGAAGGGATGAACTATTGGTAAGAGTCTTTCCTTGGCAGACTTTGGCTGACGTGGCTAAAACTGACACTGTCCATTCATCACGCCCAGTGGGCACTGACAAACTCACCTCTGCAGAGAGGTCCGACGATGGTAATGTGACCTTGTCTCTACCCTGCCCCGTGAGTGTGTGGGTGGACAGCGAACACCGTGAAAGGGGTTTCTACTGGGACGAGAGACAGTATGAGTCATGGTAATTTGCAATTGTTTTTCACATTAAGGTATTCCAAACAACAGAGCAAGAAGTGCTTTCTAATGTGAATTGCCAGTGAAAGCAATACAAGAGAGGAGAAAAGGTTGAGTTTGCTCTCCACTTGGACAAGATCTTGGAGGGCTAGGGCAACATTTTGTGGGGGGAGGGAACAGGCAGCAGCGAGAGAAAAATGACCATGTCAGTTACACCATACATTAGCAGGAAACTTCCCGAGGACGGTGCAGAGACATGGTTTCTGGTGCTCGAAGTAATCTGAGGCTGGGTTTCCTGTGAACATTGCTAATCAGGCCACCCACTTGGGGAACCCAAATTTTCAGAGGTGTGGGTGTTGAACTAAATGACCCATCCTTATAAAAGCTGTTTACCTGTTACTAAGGCTAATAAGGGCTAGGAGAAAATCTAGGAGAGAAAAGTCTTAAGGCAAAAGGATAGGGTCGTTAGATCTCAGAAACAAAACTAAATCCTGGGCACTGCTTATAGTTTTGGTTAATTACCTATGGTTTCAAACCTACGAATATTTGGATTGTCATGTTTCTTTCTGTTGCTCCTACTTCCCTCTCCTCCTTAGGCAAGGCTGGAAGAAACACTGTGAGGGCAAAGACCTGTCTGAGTGGAAAAAGGGATGTGAGGTTTCATGAATTGGAACTGGACCCAGGATGCTCTGCAACCACTCCCTAGGATTTGTCACCCTTTCCCCCCTTCCTCCCAAAATTCCTTCTCGAAGTTGGAGAGGGAAAACTAATTTATAGTTTTAAGGAAATAAATATTTCTATTTAACTATCTTTACTTACACTGACTCTATTTAAGTGATGTCACAAAAGCAGAGTGGTGAGATTTGAAGTCACTTGCAAAACGTTCTAGCCCCAGAAGGAACAAACCTACTGCTTCATTCTAAGGATTACTGGCTCCTACGGCCCTGAAATGGCTTTTCTTTTAAAAAGACTCCCGGGGCACCTGGGTGGCTCAGCCAGTTAAGCAACTGACTCTTGGTTTTGGCTCAGGTCATAGGGTCGAGCCCCTCATCGGGCTCTACATTCAGTGTGGAATCTGCTTGGGACGCTCTGTCCCTCTCCCACTGCCCCTCCCCCCCTGCTCTCTCTCTCGCTCTCTCTCTCAAATAAATAAATAAATATTTAAAAAGAAGAAGAAGAAGAAGAAGAAGACTGTCAAATCAAGGAGAGCAGTAGATGAATGACCATAGTTTGCTGACCTCTTTCCTGAAGCATTAGGTCATTCTTCTCTTGGTCAGCAGACCCACGATCCCTCCTCAACTCATCACTGCCAGAGAGAATGTTCCTGTGAGATGCAGACATTCCTCCTGATGGACACTCTAATAGAAATAAGTGGGTGAAGTTGCAGCTCTCATCATTAATGTTAAGAGAGTTCCCCAGGTTCCAACATCTATTTAAATTAAATCTATCAAATTCAAAACTAACATCATCATGGCAAAATTGCTTCCAGCCTTAGACCTATAGATTTCATTAGTTCGGTCAGGAAACTGGTGACTATCTGAAGGACACTTCATTACCTTAACACTGAGCCGAGGAGCTCAGATCCCAAAGAGCTGTTCCCAGAATGCCCTCTGTTCCATGCAGGGACGGCCCACAGGGCAGGGCAGCTCTGCTCTGCTGAGTTTTCTCTCCTCCGTTCTCCGTCCTGCTGGGGCAGAGGTGATTGGGGCTGCCGTGTTGCAATGTTACAGAGCAAGCTCAAGTTGAATGCAATCTGACCTCAAGAACACACTCAGTTAAGGTTTGTTAAAGAAATGGTTATGCCTACAAATAAGTTTCCCACTTAGAAGAAAGTCCGCACTGGTCAGGCTGATGGGTTTTGTGATAGCACCTAACTGACCCATAAACACTCTCTCATTGCCAACTGCCGGGGCTCTGCCATTGGCTCATGTCACCTCCTGGCTTCACTTGCAGGCAGAGGCTTTAAAAAAGTCTGAGCTGCTACTTGCCAAAAGAATATAAACATTCCATACTGTCGAAACAAACAGAATCCAGTAACAATTTAACAGGCATTACAAACCATGGGAAAAAAAGCTTTAGAAACTCGCAGAAGAATTGAAAAAGAATTCTGTAAGATGGCTGAAGAAAATGCGAAAAATACTGAGTCCATTAAGTTGCACTAAATCAACAATTTATGCTTCTACAAGTCCATAAATATGCATCTTTCATTACTGTCGTCCTGTTATCCATCTGCCTTGCCTCTCCCATTCTTAGCCAAACCTCCTCCATTAAACCGGTGATACCGTGTTCATGACCGAGGTTGGCATGGGACCCGTCAGCTGCACAAACACTAGGGGAAAGACTAAACAAACAAACAAACAAAAAACCACTCGACTCCAAAAAAGGAGTGCTTTGAAATTACAAGTGAAGAGAGGTTGGCTGGCCTTACAATTTGATCTATCTTTTCACAAAACTCAACATTTCTAAGCATGTAATCCTACTATTTCTGTCCCTAAATGTTTCATTTATTAAGTATTTCCATAAAGATTTAGGATAAAAAAATTGCATTGTCCTGGATAATTTTTCATAATTAATGCTCTCAGAAATTCAAGAAGAAAATATTGCTCCTGTTCCTGAGTTATCTTTATTTAACAAAGGTATCTTGAAATAACAACTGAAACATATATTCCCTTTTACAGTTTCCAAGATATTTGGAAATAGATTCTCCATTTCTCCTCACAGACACCTTAGCAGCTTACCAGATGTCACTGCACAGACAGTTGGATATTAGGGTTTGGAGAACTGCTTAGGTAGATACATTCTTTCTTTGGAGACTCAGCTCTGCCTGGCTCTTGGGACCCCTCCCCCAGTGTCTGTCCCTGTGTATTCCAGCTCGTTCTCTGTCATTCCTCAACACTTTCTGTCTGGTTCAACCATTTTTTTCTTGATGCCTCCTGAACCCATATACCATTTCCCCTTGGGTGTCTGCTCCTGGTTTTCCTCAAACCTGGAAGACTGTGCCACTTCCCAATAGCCTCTTCAAGCCCCGCCTAGCCTACAGGAAGCCTCTCTAGTCCTCCAACCTCCAAACGGTATTTTCCCTATGATCTTTCCCAACTGGAAACATATGGGATCATAGAAGGAATACAAACAAGACATTGCATTTGGAACATTTTTATTTTCAAATCAGGTGCACATCCAATATTTCAAATGCTCCTCACAACTACCTTGGGACACAGTGTAACATAATCTTTACTCTATACAGAAGACACTGAGTTATCGAAAGGGTGACTGTCTCCATAGTGCCACAGTGGGGAATCGAGGGTAAGCCTGCCACCCTATAGGAATCCTCAGAACTCAGTGAAGTAACAGTGGCCTAGTTTCTTTAGGGACAAGGAGTGCCTGAGCCCCTCATCTGTGTTCATCACCCACCTTTTTGAGTACCTCAATATAGCAAAAACGTTAGCCAGGCCTAGAAAGATCTAGAAGAAGAGAGTAGGAAATGCTCTCACCCAAAATTTAATCTCTTCAAGGTGAATTAAAGAAATAAAGCCTCCATTAGGAGACCAAGAAAGATTTCCTCTGTCCTCCCAAAATAGATGGAAAATGTTCTAGATTTCTGAAACTTGAAACAAGAAACATGTATTGCTTTTCCCAACAAAAAATTTACATTTTTAAAATTAAAACATGAAAATTATTTCTTCCAATGGCCATGTCTTCCAAATGGCCACTTCAAGCCCGCTCCCCTGGAGTCAGGCTCCGCATTTCCTCTGTGGGGCTGCTAGACAGAAGAGTACATACGGCCAAGGAAGCGCTCTGGACATGACCATCATCCAGGTCAGTGCTCCAGGGAGCATCCAGATGCTGGAAGCTCTACACATGGAACAGTCAAGGGATGGAAATCCTCACAGCTTGTTTGCACAGAAGCCCCTTCCCTAGGGGAGCTGAGGATCCAGGAGGAAACCTGACTGTAGTAGAATCATCTGGAACACAACAGGGCGCCCCGAGGGACCGGGGGCAGCTACACGGCACTGTGACTCGGACAGGTGACTCTGTCTCTCCCTCATTTTCCTTCCTCGCTTTTCCAGTTCATTCACAGTGCAGGAGGGGACTGGAAAGAGACACTCGGAAACTGTCCTAAATCACGGACACAGCAAGCACATCTGTTTAATCTGATCCTTCTGTAACAGCACAAAGGGGGGAAACAGAAGGTCAGAAGCTAATAAACAGTCTCACAGAAGAGGGGAAGGGAGGGGAGAGACAAAGCCGATATTTTGTTACACAAGGCGGCAACTCGAACAACTTTCACCACGGGGGCCCCCTTCCTGGTGGACAGCCCAGACCCAGCACTGCATCTTGAGCAGGGGCCTTTGCACCGCCTTCGTTTTCATAACTTTATCAGTTGGGCCCTGATTATAACCAGAATCCATATTCATTGGGGAACATATAGAAAATAGTTTTCCAAACAATAAAAATATTCTCACTACTCAACGATAACTGCTATTAATACTCTTGGCTTTTCTTCCAGTTTTTTTTTTCCTATTTTTTATAGGATTGGAATCAGAATTTTAATTTTGTAACCTGTTCTTTTCGCTGAACATACCACACGGATTTCCCCCAATTAATATTTGCCAAAATACGGTGCCTACGAACAGCAACACAATGGCTAGGCTGCTCCATAATCTCTTTGCTCTGTCCTCCCTTGTTGTGTAGCTGGCTCAACCAGCAACATTTTCAGGCCTGGGACTCTAGGCCAAGTTCTGGAAAGGGCTCTTTCTTTTCTCACTGCTTATTCTCCTCCAGACTTCACCAAAAGCCCTCTGCACGTGATTTTTCTGGGGCCCATCTTTCCATGGACTCCTTGACTGCTTTGGGGAGAACCTGGATCAAGACTAGAAATAGACTGGGCCATGGTTTCCAATCAGGATCCATCATCTGCCATTTGGCCCCACACTGAGAGCAAAAAAAAAAAATGAAAGTCTGTACTGTCCTGAAAAATCCAAAGCATGTGATTAGCCATGTTGTTTCACCTCCTGAAAAATGGGAAGAGCATACTCACTGCACACACTTGTAGTGAGGGTTTGCAACAACATGAGAAACACATGGCACAGATCAGCCTTTAAAAAATAAAATCGGTGGGGCGCCTGGGTGGTGCAGTCGGTTAAGCATCGGACTCAGTTTTGGCTCAGGTCATGATCTCAGGGTCACGAGATTGAGCCCCGCATCGGGCTCTGTGCTGGGCATGCAGTCTCCCTCTCCCTCTGTCTCTCCCCCAACGCGCTCTCTCTCTCTAAAATAAATACACAAATCTTTTAAAAAAATTTGGTTACTACTATTTTATTTCTACATTTTTCTCTCTTCATTATGTTTAACAGGTGATTTCTAACAGGTACGGCAGATACTTCAATAGGATGAATTACATTTTCTGTGAAATAATGACATTTCCGAAAAGGGAAGGGAGAAATCTTTCCTGAAAGAAGCTGCCAATAAAACCTTGGCTGCATTTGTTTTACTTAGGTCCCTGCAGCTGTGATTTTCAAGCTACAGGGTAAAAAGTTAAAAGCGCTCTTGAGTCCCCTGCCTGCTCACTACCACACCCCCTCTGGCAGCATAATTCTTGGTGAGGAAGAAAAAATAAATCTATAGTTGCCTTGAAAAGCATTCATGCAAAATAAAGCCCAGATTCATAAGTAATCGGACTTCTT